GTAGACCAGGCTGGCCTCGAACTCACAGAGATCCGCCTGCCTCTGCCTCCCGAGTGCTGGGGTTAAAGGCGTGCGCCACCACTGCCCGGCTTGGGGGTATCCTTTAAAGGTAGCCAGTTGGAATCTGCAAGAGAGAGTCCCAGGCAGCGTAGTCTCCTCAGGTGAGACTTGCACATAAAAGAACAAATAGCAGACAGAGAAAACATCAGATTGGGTGCTTACAACAGAAACTGATGGGCGTGGAGGTGCCAGCGGAGCTCCAGGTGAGCTTTCTCTCCACGCTGAACTGCCAGCTCCCCACGGCTTTCCCACTGCAGGCATGTGTGTGTCAGGAGGTAAACAGTAGTAACTTGGGTTGGAAATTGTTTTCCTTCTGCTGTTCTCAAGGGCACAGTGTATTTCCTCCTAGGCTGTTCTGCTGTTCTCTGCTCCCTGTCACTGAGACTAGAGTACACCCCCAGATAAGGAGTCTTGGAGAACACTTGACATTGGAGTCTCTTCCAGAGCCAGCTTCTCAGTTCAAAACAGCAGATGAGCGTTTGCCAATAGACTGTGCCTTTCACTACGTTTCAGGCCTGCAAGGCTTTTCCGAGGCCGGGGATCAGTCAAGCTGTTAGTTTACGATCATCTGTCTCTCTCCTGATTACAGAAGAGATGGGTTGAGTTCTGGTGGTCAGAATAAACAGAAGGCCACTTTGTCTTTAAAACACACTGTGGGCATGGGATATAGCTCACTTGGGACAGAGCCAACCTTGCATCCATAAAGCCCTGACGACATAACACCCCCAACACTCAGCAGGGTCAGGAATTCCAGGTCATCAGAAAGGAGGAGCAACCAGAGTTTGCGTCGGTGTAGAGATGGCAGTTTTTCTCCTGAGGTCAGTAGCATCTTACCTGTGCTCTTCCCGAGTCTGTTTTAACCCCAATGCCTTATCCTTCTTTTGGCAGTAATCCAGTCCCTCATAGCACTGGTGAACGACCCCCAGCCTGAGCACCCACTCCGGGCTGACCTAGCTGAAGAATACTCTAAGGACCGTAAAAAATTCTGTAAGAATGCTGAAGAGTTTACAAAGAAATATGGGGAAAAGCGACCTGTGGACTAAAATCTGCCAGGAGTGATTCCAGCAAGTTTGAGCAGAGCCCCGAGCAGTACTCAGATACCCCGCACAGCAGGACTCTGGAAAACTGACACGGGCCACCACCTGGCGTCCGCTTGTGCCAGTTACTAACTTTCTACAGTTTTCTTAATCAAAAGTGGTCTAGGTAACCTGTAAAGAAGGATTAAAAAATTCAGATGTTCTAGTTCTGCTTGCTTTGTTTTAAAAATCACTGCTTTAGTCTACTTCAAAAGAATGGCATTTCTTTTCTTGCCCAGATTTACTCCAAGTTACAGTTAGCCCAGGTTTAAAAAAAAAATGTCCTGGTTCCCTCTCCCATTGCCCTTTTCCCTCTCAATGTCCTTCCACAGACGAAGCCCAGCTCCCCACAGAGGTAGCAGCGCTGGCAGCTCTTCTCCTGTGCCACACTGCCTGTGGGTGACAGCTCAAGTCCCCTCATGCCACCCTGTTAATGTCCTTTAAAAAGTTATAAAACAATATCAATGTCCCTCCCTCCCCCAAAACATTGTCTGTGCAAAGGGAAGCTGCTTTTACGTAAAATCTTAGCAAGTGTTTCCACAGTAACAGACTCAGTGCACAGACCCCACGCCCCCAACCCGTGGTCAAGCTGTGCCGAGTCTTTGTAGAGAACCCTGCAATACCAGGTTGGTGGTGACCTTGGGGGTGGGCTCTGCCAGCAGAGAACGCCGGGCACCCATGTGACGATGTCGCCAGTCAGCAGCCCTCCCTGCAGCTGCGGTTGACGGCCTGCTGTCATTACAGGCAAAGCAAAAGCCAGGATATTCTTTTGAAATCTCAAGCTTCACCACCACCAAGCTCTGCTGAGGTGTGCCAAGGAGCCCCGACTCCTCAGCACAGCAGGCCACCACTGTCGCCCTCCCTCCGCATGGTTTGCCCTTTGGGATCAACATTGGTGGCTTCTGCTGTGTAACCAGCTGCCCCTTCCTCAGAGCAGCTGCTGAGGCAGCCCAGGAACAGGATGGCCTTTCCAGAGTCAAGCTCCACTTGAAGCTCACTCAGTAATATCCTTTCAGTATGTTTTATATTGTTTTCATTGCCTTTTTTTGTAGAAATAAAATTTGACCTTAGAATTTATCATCAAATGAACTTTGTCAAGGTTTGAATGTCAATGTCTTTTCAAGGCAAGTGGGACTGTCCTTAAAGCAGTGGTGCCACCCTGAGGGAGCTGTCGGCCTGACTGCCTGTGTTTACCAACTCACTTAGGGTCTAGATCCTGTGGAGAAGATTGCCTCAAGAGCTCTAGCTTTCTGCTTTAACCGTAGTTCGTTAACTTCAGGGCTACCTGGGGCTCACCTACTTGGAAGGCAGCTCTGGGTTTTGCCTATAAAGGAGTGAGCCAGGTCCTCTCAGGCAGTGTGACACTATCTAGTTTCCAAGTGCTTGGCTCCTGGGGTGCATAAATGAACTGTGCTTTAGTCTAGGTATGCACGGGGCAGGTTTCTGGAGACCTCATGTGCCCAGGATGGCCAGAGCACCGGGCCTGCGTTTCTACGTCTGTCTCTTCATTGGCAGAAAAGTGACAATGGATTTTATTTCATTCACATTCAGATTTGTAATAAAATGCCAAATTCTGTTACAAGTTGTCCAAACAAACCACCATTTGTTCTTGTTGCTTTTCTGAATCTAGAGATAGTCCAACTGTCTGATAGCTTAGTTCTACCTGCCTGTTACCTTCACTGCTCTCTGCTCACTATGGGAGGGCACCTTTATGCCAGCAGCCCCTCTCAGGGACTCTCAGCCCTAGTACTGACAACCATGGCCTGCCCTGGAAGCAGGGGTCTGGCTTGGAGTCAGTGGTGTCCCTCGGGGCTTGCATGCCTTGCTCTTTCTATCCCTGCCCTGGAGCAGGCTTTGAGCAAGCTGGCGGGCAGCTCTGGCTCTCCAGACTAAAGAAGAGCTGGATCCTTAGAGAAGGGATGTCTGTGAGCAGCCAGCCAGCCAGCCACCCACCCACCCCTGACACAAGTTGGCTCAGGAATTCACATCCCCCTGGTTCCTTGAAGTGCCCGGGTCTTGTCCTGCTCTTTCCACGATGGCAGAGAATAGGCTTTCTAAGATGCTGTGACCCCATCTGTCCTTAATAAAAATGTTCTCAGACACTAGTTTGGGTGTATGGGTTTCTTCCTTTGGGGATGGACATGGCTGGGGGCCTATGTTCTTGGAAACTAAAGAGAGTAGTGTCTAGGCCTCTGGTCTCTTTCCTCTGCTTCCCAGCCTCTAAAAGAGGCATACAGGTGTCTTGCCAGGTAGAAGTAGATGGGGCGGTCAACACTGGGAAAACTGCAGAGACCCCATGGATATCCAGGAGACTGACACACAAGATGTCACTTCATCCTTCTAGCCCCAAGAAAATGTGAACTGCATTTAGCAAACGTGAGAACTAGTCGAGAAAGGGGTTTGATCAGGGGCTTGAACTGAAGAGTATGTGTCTTTGAATCATAGCCATATCTGGAAACTCACTGGGTTTCTCAGACAGCTCCTAAGACACTACAGCACCAGCCAGGCCTGTGACAAGTGGCCACCAGATGAAATCAGTTTGCCTCCCAGCTGGGTCTGCAGATCTTGCAGGAATACTTCCTGGGGCATCGTTTTACATTGGCTTCCAGACATTCCTGGAGCCTTGCTGGCTTTGAACTCAGAATCTTCCCCGCTTGTTTCCCTCAAATAAGTATTTAGCTCTAACTCCCATACCCCCTGCATCCTGACTGTTCTTCTTCTACTCCCGTAGCCAAAGGCCCAGTTTCCTTGCTGCTGAGTAAGTAGCTTGTAAGCCATTCAGCTTTGGTTTGGCATGTCACTTCCTCTGGCCTTAAGAGATGTGTCCCCCAACATGCTGTGCAGTCTAATCTAGGGAGAAGTCAGTCTGATCTGACCTGACCTGCCCTGCCCACGGCCTATGAGCAAACAGCACTGCCCCAGACAACACAGTTGAGGAAGAAACGGACACTGTGACATGGTACCCAGCCCAGGCCGCGTCTTGTAAATGGCATTTCCTGGATGACTCAAGACAGCAACCTGGAAAAGCAGACAGTACAGACCACTTACCCGGCACCACGCTCGAAGTCCAAAGAAGGAAGCTTACCTCTAAAGAACCTTCCTCCTCTTCCAGCGTGGCCCAGATCACACTGATTTGCCATTTGGAGGCTGGGCGGTATCCCAGCAGAGCTTTCCTTCCGAGCACTCCATTGAAGAGTCACACTCTAGGAGCTGTCTGTAGAAACGGGCTGCCCTCGTACTAGGCCTATAGCCAACAGCCAACAGAATGTGCACCCGAACCACAGGAGTCGGGGGAGGAGGTGAATGGTAGACAGCAGAGGAGTCACTGCCCAGGGCAGGGTCGAAGAAGGCTATAATAGACTGAGGCCAACAAGGTGGGAGGAACAAGATCCCTTCAGGAAGCCACGTGTCTTATCAGGTCAGGTGAGAACTTGCTTCCCTGACCCCCAGTTCCAGGATAGATGTAGGCCATGGCAGGTCAGTTCAAAGCCCTGCTCACCTGTAAGTCTGTGGTTAGGGCACAGCATGCATGAAACTCTGGGCTTAGTCCTAAAAACCATGTAAATGGAGTGATGATGCACAGCTGTAATCCCAGCATTGGCAGGAATAACAGCTCAGTGCCATCCTTGGCGAGTATCAAGACGGTCTGGTTTTGCCTAGCGTTCATGTGGTATCCCAGTTTCCTTTCCATCTTCCAAAATGGTGCAAAGCTGTGCTCCACCCCTTCCTGTCTACTCCCTCCCGGCAGAGCATCCATAGAGCAGATGTAGCTAGAATCCCAGCTTCTCGTTTCTGCAGAAGACTACCCCTCCTGGAAAAATGTACACACTCCTATAACTTGCAGAGCCTCTTTGAATCTGTTTCCCTGAAGTGGCTTTCATATAGCAGGTTACCTCCCCTCTTTAGACGACTAAAACTACTACTGTAGTATGTGTGTGGGTGTGGGTGTGGGGTTGGAGGGAGGACAACTTTTGAGAGTTGGTTTTTTCCTTCCACCAGTCCTGGGGATCAAACACAAGAACTTTTACACAATTGGCCATCTTGCTGGCCCCTCAGATAACCTCTTTTTAAATGAAACTTATGCTTGTTACCATATGCCTCCCCCAAACACCCTAATGAGGATCTTTTATTCCCCTCCCATTAGAAAAAGAAAAGAAATGTAAGCATTGCTAGGGCACAGTGGTATGGGCTTGCAGTCCCAGCTAATAGGAGGTGTTGGAGGAGGACCCCTTGAGCCCAGGACTCCAAGGCCAGTCTGAACAACGTGTTAAGACCCCCATTTCAAAAACAAAACACATGGACCATGGTATGCTTGTACCCCCTCCCAACACAAGTGCAAGCAATTAATTTTTTAAGGGATTTAAAGCATGAACAAAATTAAAATTAGAAAGTGAAGATATTTTTTGCATATCTTGGTTTGAGCCACAAAGGAGCTCTCTGTGCCCATTCTTATTTCTGTGAAGGATACCTGGACACTATAAACTGGCCAAATCTGAAAGACATTACTTTATTCACACCAACCTCTCTCCACTGCTCCAGTAAACAGGTGGTTTTAACGGCAACATGAATTGGCACCAAATGCTCAGGCAGGCCTTAAGTCCAGATGTCACAGACCAGGCAGGGCTGCGCAATACTGCTCAGCGGCGAGGACCTGGGTTAGTGACTTGTCATTCTAAGAAACCAGACCCTGCTCCAAGGCCAGGTTCCACGCTGAACCAGAGCGTTAGCCCTGGCCTTCCTCCACAGTGAGAGGCAGTTCGTAGCGAGCCTTTGGTGTCAGGGTAGGGAAGGCTCCAGGAAGGGCTCAAGCGTTGCCTCACAGGGGACCCCTTCCCCGGGCCTTTTGGAATCCAGGTCGTCTAGGGCGCAGAGCTGCACACCATTCTGGGCCAGCCGAGCCCGCAAGGTGGGTGCAGTGAGGACGTGCAGCTCGTGCAGCCGCTCCCAAGAACAAGAGAAAGCATCGGGGCCCTCACCGCAGCCCCCTGCTGGAGGCACACTGGGGTATCCTGGGTGTGCCATCAGTTCGGCAGTCAGGGCACGGCCAGCAGGGATATCTTCGAGGGCCCGTGCCAGCGACGCCAAGACGCGGTGAGCAGACATGTGGCGGCCACAGGTGCTCAGGCCCACAAAGGCGTCGGTCCACCTGTGAGTGCCACGATAGAGATGTTGCCTAAGTTCCGGTAGGGCTAGGCAGAGGGTGAAACAGGCCAGCAGGTCAATTCCTAACTCGTTTGGCTGAGAAAAGGGCACATCTGGCCAAGTGAACGCACCAGGACCTTTGGGGACGAGGCAGGGTTGGATGGGGTGGAGGAGGGCGGTGCTCACCGCAGGCCGTGGCGGGAGAAGGGGCCCATGGCAGCCCGGGCATCGCGCTCCACAGTGCAGGCGAAGGCACGCGCTGGTGCTTCCAGCCACGAGCAGCTGCCCACGCCGCATTCTACTGGCAGCCGCGTGAAGCGCACCCCGAACGCCTGCAGGGCCTCGGCGAACACCTGACACACTCCTGCTTGGAGGGGTGGGCTCAGCATCGACCTCCCACCAACCCTGGAGAGCAGCCCCCTCCCCCATGCCCATCAGAGCGCTTCAGTCCGCGTACCTGGGAGCACGTGCACGTGCTGGTGCCCGTCTACGTGCGTGGGGGACCTGCCCATCAACTCCCGGAAGCGGCTGAGTTGAGCTTCTAGTTCCTCCCGCACCTGGAGGGGCACAGATACCTTGAACTTCTGGAAGTAGCCACAAAACGAAGAGCTCCGTTTGGTGCCACGGTGCGACTGCTCCAGTGTTTGAATTAGGAGCGTATCCAGCGCCCGCGTTTGCCCCAACGACTTCCTTTAAAACCTCTGGGCTGAGCTCTGAGGATCCTGATGAGCATCCTCCTGCAGCCACGCCTCCGCACCTGGGGCAAAGCAACGTCTCCAGCCGCTAAGGCCTCCCGAAATCCCATCTTCCCGAGGAAGAAGCCTTCTGGGCTGAGGAGCGACGAGGCGTTGTGGCGGGCCGGACCCACAGGACGGCCCTCGGACAGGTTGGCGTGGAGGCCCGTGGGAATGCTGTGTCTGCAGGCGGAGCGCGAGAGCGAGCAGTCTGCCACCGAGCGGGCGGCCCCCCAAACCCGCCCGGTCCTGCAGGGCGCCGCCCTTACCTGCGGGCCAGCTCGGCCGCGCTCTCGGCGGCTGTGCCGTTGACCAGCAGTGACACGCTGGTCACAGTTCCTGCCAGGAAGGCCTCCACGATGCCCTCATCGCGCCTCGGGCAGTAACCAAAGTCATCAGCGGTGACAACCAGCTGCACGCGGGGCCAAGCCATTGCTGCCGAGCGCCGTCTGGAGACCGGGGGGAATGGGCCGCAGCATCCGGACTCCGGCCCTGGACGCTGCCGAGGCCCCACCCCGACGCACACGCCTAAGTGCGACTGCACGCCGCCGTTGCTTTTGCCACCTAGAGGTCTCTGAGCGTACTGCAGACGCCCGGGTCAGCCGCTCTGCAAAGTTTTTTTTTGGCCCATGTCTATATCCATCTCTCTCTCTCTCCCCTCCTCCCTCTCCCCTCTCCTCTCTTCTCTCTCTCTCTCTGTCTGTCTCTCTGTCTCTGTCTCTCTCTGTCTCTCT